CATCTGTCTATCATCGCATCTGTCTGTCACATAATGTCAAAGATTAGACTTGTTACTGATAAACTTTAACATCGGTTGATCCTCCTCCATCATATCATCTCACACAACCTGAGACAGAGCTTGATTCACACACTTTGGTAACAAAGGACAGGTGCAATTTACCCATAGCTCTGGACTGGATGCTATTTTAACTATCTTCCATCCACGAGCATTATGTTTCATAACCCGATCCACTTGCTTGAAAACGAAATGACGACACATGTATCATGTGTGTTGCTATGGGACTAAATGACACAAAATCTATAACTTGGTTTGAAACGACATATCACCAGAATGGTATCATTTGGACATCTTTCCTCTAGAAAAAGAGCTTGTATCAGTTGATTAGCCCTGACTAAAATTTTGGATCTTTGTTTGGGAATTGATAAATTGGGATACTGTATCCATTCTTTGATAGATTTTACTATAAGTTACGTCTGTGGTTTTTTAAACAATGATTTAGATGTTCCAATATGATACGATTCACATTGGCGCACTGAAAGCATTGCCTTCTTTTCTAAAAGAATTTTGTTACATATGTAGTCCTTCGTTTTTAGTTCCTCTTAGGTTCTCAATGCAATTATGTTGAATATTTTGTTATAGTTTTGCTAATTATTATTTTTTTCCAATCTAGGCATTTTATAAAGTTATCCGCAGTTGGGCCTCAAAGAAATTCATGACTGGATGGTGAGTTTGTTTTGCCTATTATCTTATTGATGACTTTCATAATTGACTATATAGTTGAAGTATTTTCCTTTATTTGTTACCGAGTCTTTTCCTCAATATTGTTTAGCAACCTTATAGAAAAATCTATTTAAGAAGCTTAATAAGCAGGTTCATTCCTTTCTAGTTCAATTCATTGCCTGATTCAGTCAATCAATCTTTTAATTTTGTAAAATTGTATTGACATGCCCCCACGCACACATAACAGAGGCCAGATATAGAGACACCAATCAGTAATTCAGATATACATGATCCCTACCTGTAAAGAGAAAATGATTTCTGTTGTATGTGGGTCGGAGGCACGCTGCTCCAATTTGAGGTAAGTACTTCGAATGGCCAAGAGAGGCGGCTCGGTAGGGAAGGAATGGTCATGGGAGAACATTCCTCCCTCCAACTTGTCTCCTCCCTGTTACATGCAAATGCCTTGCCAACTCTTTTCAAGTGCCCTGATTAATGGGAAAGTTTGTAATTTCTTGTGATTATTTATTTATAGTTCGTTCATTTGACAGGCAGTTACATTAAGTCATAAGCAACATGCATAGCAGATTGTTCTAAATTTCTAATATTATGCCTCACCTCAACTTCCTACAGTACAACAATTAAAAAAAGTAATTTCTTATATTTTTAGTTGACTGCGCGTAATCAAGTTAGGCAGATCAGATACTGGCAACCGGACTACTATGTGCATCAAGTATACTCGAGGTCCTTGATCCATTAAATAAAGGACATGTATAGATTTGGCATATGCACCTTGACCTGGAATCCCACATCCTATTGGAAGTTAAAGGGGTGTAGGACCAAGTTGGTTGATTAATAAGGAAAAAATATTGTTGAATTATTCAGCACTAATTTACTGCAGTGGATATGAAATCCATACGTAAAATCTATTGAGACTTATTTCTATATTCTAGGGAATATTTTTATGGAATTACTCAGTTCTATGTTCTTTTGAACAATTTTATGTCGGAACTTATCCAAATGAACTGTGAATTCCAAGTCCTTCTAATTCCATGTTCTTCAGTTATTTAACTGATGCCAGTTCAATGGTCAAGCAACTTATGCACTCATGTTTTATTTCATTCTGCAGTGTTATCCTGTTTCCGATTGCGATTACCTTTTACATCACCTGGTGGTTCATCCATTTCGTGGATGGATTCTTCTCCCCAATATATGCTCAACTTGGAATCAACATCTTTGGTAGGTATTTCTCGATTTTTTCCCTTTTCCTGGGAATACTTCTTATTTTGGTTCTAAGGAAATAAATGTATAGCTTATGCCATCAACCTTACCACTTTATTGTTCCAAAATATTTCTAGCTAATTCATGTTTTCCATCAGACAGCTTACAATTACTTTACAAACTCTAGCTTTGAGATGAACTCCCAAATATATTTCTTCTGAATGCCCAACCAATTTATCGATTTCCTTATATTTGGAGCTTCAAATCCATGCTCTGACAGTGTATGTTTAGTGAGTATTTATTAATGTTGTAGAAATAAGAATGTTCTATTGGTAGTCAAGTTTTTTCCTAGTGAAACCTGATAGCAAGAATTGAGATACCATTTTGTCTTTAGTCATTTCATTTGTGTTTTATTGATTTTCTAAATCACAACAGTATTATGCTAAGATATAATTGATTATTGTTAACCTTAAACAACTGGAAGGAGGACTAGAGGTAGTACTAAGCGAGCTTGCTTTTAAGAAGGATATGATAATGACCAGCTTAATGGAAGAGATAGACTCGATGGAACTGAGTTAAAGAGTAGGTTTCATGTAGCCAGCCCAACTAGGTTTTATTGTTGTTGTTGTTGTTAAGCTTAAACAGTTTTTTACTTGCATAGAGAGTTGGGCACCCATCTCTTAGAAATGGTGCGAATGTTTCTCTTATTTTACTTTTTTTGCTCGCAGCTTTATCTTCTTGATATTTGTTTCTTTTGTCATGTCTCTTTTACTTCATTTTGATTTGATTTCGGCAGTTCAAAACATAGCGTACCATGCAAAGAGATAATGCACACTGATTTCATACTTCTGTTTCGTTTTCGACTTTAATGTTTACCTACTTGGCCTCTTCTCGTTCTCAACTTTAATGTTTACCAAAATTTATTTTCTCCAGGACTTGGTTTCATAACTTCCATACTGTTCATTTTCTTGGTTGGTGTGTTCATGTCATCATGGCTTGGGGCATCCGTCCTTAGCCTTGGCGAGTGGTTTATCAAGCGGATGCCATTTGTTCGCCATATATACAATGCATCTAAACAGATTAGCTCAGCCATATCACCTGGTAATTTCCTCCTCTTGATCTTAAGAATGTACACTTATATTATATATTAGTGACATCCCCCATTCCAGATCAAAATACACAAGCCTTCAAGGAAGTAGCCATTATAAGGCACCCCAGAATTGGTGAATATGCATTTGGATTCATTACATCTTCTGTTGTTCTTCAGGTTTGTAGTCAAGATCCATGATCCTTGTTATATTATGTGCGTTTCAAACAAGCCTCTTTTATTGAAATATTTATTTTTGTATAAGTTTTGTGAACTTGAAGGCGAGCCATCCAATAGGTGACACACACATATATACATAAAAACACACACACACTCACAAGAAAACACATAATATGGCGATTGATCCTTAGAACTGGTCTACATATGATTTATGAGTACTCAATGGTGGGCCATCCATTGGGTGATCTACCGATGTGCACATTAAGCTGGTAAGGGTTAGAGATCAAGTGGCTTAAAATATTTTCAACCTCTTTCAAAAGGGGGTTCAAAGTAAATTTTAGTTAGTTCGTGAATCACGGGCACAAGGTTGTTGTTTATACTTATTTTGTTTATGACGATACCAACAGTATGAACATATTCTGATGAATCTGATGCACGAATCTGGTATATCCTCCACTGTTATCTAACACGCTTTGCGAGGATTCTTGGTTCCTTTGAAGAAATCATGCGTGAGGTGCAGATCATAACATAGTATACAGAATAACCTCTTGAACTGAATGAGTTATGTTGATTAGTTAGACAAGGTAGGTAAACAATTTGTTTGCTCTGGTCACAGTGGCTTACATGTGCTTGTATAACTTTCAAGGAAGTGTTCCTTTCTACTAGAAATGCATCTGTGTTTCTCATATTTTTTCAGTCTTTCTGAAGGTGCATCATAATTTTTTTCTCTGATGCATTTCTTTCCTGTGCTTATGTGCTAGTTATATACACGCATCTTCAATTTTTTACTGAATTTTATTTTACATTCTTTTCCTTTTGTATTAACAGAGTTATTCTGGGGAAGAGGAGCTCTTCTGTGTCTATGTGCCAACAAACCATCTTTACATTGGTGATGTATTCCTAATCAACTCTGAGGATGTGATTAGACCGAACTTATCTGTCCGTGAAGGAATTGGTATGATGCCGCTATCTGCATGATACTATCTTCATGGAGGCATACAACATACTTAAAATCCACTCGTTCTGCATGCCTATACCCATAATCGAAAGGGTTAATTGCAGATACACCCCCAGCGTGAAGCCAGTTAATCCCTCATAAATTATTTTATTAGCACTTACTCCCCTTAAAATCAAACAGTCAGTTTTGTACCGCCAATTTAGAGGGCAATTTAGTCCAACTGAAGGCAAAAGGTAACTTATCATCTCATGTTTTCGACGTGATACTCAACCTAGTGGGAGAAATAATGCCGTTGTTTGAGGTGTAAGCGCTAATAAAATAGTTTAGACGGGAAGAGTAGTTGTACATCCATAGTTCATGGGGTACATCTGCAACTAATCCTAATAGGTATTATGCCTTATGAATTTCTTGGACAAAAGATAGTATTTCATCTTACGCATATTTTCATCGGGTTGGTGAAATTGTCTAATACTTGTTTTGAACAGAAATTGTTGTCTCCGGTGGGATGTCAATGCCTCAAATCCTCTCAACGCTTGATTCTCATACGATACAAGTGGATAGAACTAGATCTAACCGGACTTGAGGCAGAGGCGACGAAGTTTCTTCTATTAAGCTTTAATGAGTTATAGCATGGAGACCACACCGTTTACTTCTCTTTGTTTCCGGTTTTAATGTAAGTTTGAATTCTACAGCTTGCCTTCTGTATATCGATGGCACAGTAATATTCTTCCTTGCATTAGGTTTGTAAAGTATTAGTGAATTCCTTGCTATGTGCTTTCAGTTTGGTCTGTAACTTTAGAAACTCAGGTTCCAGAGTTTTATTTTTACACGGTTTGTAAGGAATTTGGGTAGGATTGCTGATTAAGATTTAAGTTCAAGAGGGGGGGAAAGGACTTTAGCTGCTAATTCGAGTTTGCTGCACTTTCATTATCAAGGTCATGGTCTGTGGGTCTCCCAATTTTCGTCTGCTGGTCGTTTGTGGTTAAAGCGTCATTTTCATAACATCTATAATATTGGCTGTATGAATAGATATTTATGCCTTAAATATTTATTATTATTAGATTAAGATTATGTCAGTGCTAACTGGTGGACACCAGCCTTTGTTGATCAAGCGATGTTTTTTTTAATATAACTTTTCCCCTTTCCCTTTTTTTTTAAAGATTTTGATAACAAATGAAATTATTTAAAAATCCTTTCGTGTTATCAAAATATGGGTACCGGGAGATTGATCCGAGTATCATCTACCATTTGACCTCCTATTTCATGTGGCCTTCGGAAGGGAAAAAATACCCTGCAGAAGAAGTCTATAGGAAATCGTATTGTGAGAAACTAGCTTATACAATGATAGTGATTGTGGTTAGACAACAGTTTGATCGCGATGATGTAATATTTCAAATTCACTTATGCAATAGTGTTGATTACGACGATACAATACTTTGATTGGACTCTTTAACATCTTATTCTAGTTGTATAGATTTAGAGGGAAACGCTCGTCACTCCCTCTCTCTCCTCTGTTTATATGAATTTTCTATACTAGTTGGTGATTGGAGTCACCAAAACCTCTCTATCCTTCTTAAGTTCCATGTACGTTATTTTCACAATTAGCTTCATTTTTTGTTCGCCAGAAGTCCTCTTAACTCAAGCTTAATTCTATCTCAATGGTTGATAGTGAAGGAAATCGTGCTATGTCTACATGCATAATACACAGCGGAAGACATGTATGTACAAAAATAC